CTGGAATTATTATATTTATAGCTTTATAATTGGCATTTAGCAAAGTTCAGTATTTTTGTTATACTTGCATCTCCTATTTCAGGGGTTGGCATACTTTTTCTGTAAAGGGCCAAGAAACTAAATATCTTCAGCTTTGGGAGGCATATGGTCTTGGTAGCATCAAAATCAACTCTGCTTAGTTATATGGAAGTGGAGCCATAGACAATACCTAAATAAGTGGGCATTGTCAGAGTTGACTTTCTGGACATAATTTTCTAACTCTGTTTTAATTAATTGTAAAGCCAAACTATATCCTCTTACTCATCTTTATAAACTTCACAACACTTAGAATAGATAGTAGTGTGTTTATAGAGAGCTCAATAAATAATTTTTGCACTAATATGATATTCTATAAGGGCAAATGCTGACAAATAGGAGGGTTGATCATGAGTAACCTTGTATTTAGTGCAGCCTTAATAAGAATTATAAGGGTTTAAAGCTTTCAGGAAGGAAGATGATGAGTATTGAGTGAGGAAGGAGCATCTCTCAGAAGGATAGACAGTGGCTGTGGTTTTGCTGAGAGTATTTTGGCTGTGGCTGGTTGGTGAGCCTACATCAGAAAGCAACTTGACCCATCAGTTTCAGGTTTTGCTGTTCAGGTATTCTCCAGCTCATTTGCTTTATAGAGTTTTCACCTGGGCATGTATTGTTGTAACAGTCAACATTATTTAAGGATTTAGTATTACATGTCAGGACTATGTTAATTGATTCATATGCCTTATCTCATTACTCTATGAGGTAGAATTGCCTCTTCATTTTCCAGTTAAAGTAACCAAGTTTAAGGTAATTGAATCATCTGGCCAAGGATAAGCTGCTAGTGAGAACAGAATTTGGATTTGAAGTTGAGTTAGACTCCAGTGATCATTGTCTTGACCATTAAATTCTAGCCTTTTTCACCAAGATAATGGTGGTGACAGTACTGATGTCTATTGTGTGCATGTGTGGGTATGTGGTCCATTTGACTTTAATACCCAAAAGACAAGGCTTATTCCTTGTCTTATTTTTCGTCATGTTTTATTTTTGTTCCTTTCTTTTAACAGGATTACCAAAGGCACAGTCAGTAGTCAGTAAACATGTTTAAGAACTGTATTGTGTCATCATGCCACATATTCATACTTGCCTTGGGATGGGAAAAGATCATTCAGTAAAAAATACAGGTAAAATAAATCTTGACCATGGAATTTTTAACCTACAATCATGATGTACCTTTTGTATATCCTTGCACATAGATCCAGCATTGCAATTTTTTAAAAAAATAAATCATATTAAGACTCTTAGGAACATTTTATAGGTAATTACTAGTGTTTGTTTTAGATAGATCCTACAACTTTAAATAAAAACTCATATAGAATGAACATCCTGAGAATAAACCTTAGTGCCAAATGGAAAAACTTTTTTTAACAAATAAATTTCAAAAACAATGT